TTTTAGTTACAATTATAATATAATATAGTTTAATACAGTTACAGTCACAACATTTTACAGCAATCCGAAATGCATCTCAAGTTTAATATGATTAAATTAATTTTAATTAATATTTGTATAATTTTATAATTATATATTAATGTATAAAATATTTTTTAATGTAGTGATATAATAATTATATTATTTTTTAAAAATATAAATTATTTGAAAAAAGTCAGATCTTTATGTTTAAGTAAGATAAGTAAGATAAAATGTGAGTTTCTTGAGTTTTGTTCTTAATAATTTTATTTTTGTTTGATGGTTTGTGTGTTCTTGTATCATCTATTAATTCTTTGATAGGCTAGAACCTGATTTTGTTATAAAATAAAATCATGTGTTAATATTATTTATTAATAGGTCTATAATCTGAAGTCTTTGTAGATTTTCATAATTGCTTTCACACATATATTGAGTAATTTTTTTTTTCTGATGTTAATTGCACAATGAGAAATAATTTTTTCTTATTTTTTATTACATCTCATTTGTATATCATGCGATTTAAACTTATAATATCTTATTTTTAATGGAATAAGATTACCATTAAATTACTTATATCGTTAGTAAGCAAAAGTTTCAATATGTGTTTCCCTTCTCCTCCACTCACATCTTGAACCACTTATTTTATGGTTGGTAATGAGACATTAAAAACGTGTATTTGACACGTTACAAATTTCACTCTCTTTTTAGTACATCTATGATGATTTATAAATCAGAATCTTTCCAAAATTTTTTTACATTTTTAAGCTTCAAATATTAACTTAATATTTTGTTTTTACACCATGGAAAAAATAAAGTTTTTATCAATAAAAATAACCCTTAGGTGCCAATGACCTAAGTGGTAATTTTGCTTAAAACATTAAAAGGTTATAGATTTGAATTATGTGATAGGTGAGAAAATAAATTAAATGATGGGTCAAGGCCAGAAAAATGCCTTCTATTTTCTAAACCACATATATTAAAAAAAAAAACCTATGGGACCAAATTATTTGGTATTGATTTATACGTATAAAGAAAACAATTTTAGAAATGAAAATGTTCGTTTAAAAAGAGAAATACAGGGTGTCGCTACGGGCGAAAGGGGTAACGGGCCCACAGAATTTGTTAGGCTGGTTTAAACTGGAAAATTTTTATCTTATTTGATAGGTTTATATAAATTGTTAATTTTTTATTTTAATTTAATGATTAAAAATAATTAATAATTAATAAAATAATTAATATTTATTTAATAAATTAAACTTAATTTATAAATAAATATTTAAAAATTATAATTAATTATTTAAAATTTATAAATTAATAAAATATATAATAAATTATATAATTTTAACAAATTTATATACAATTATAGTCGCAACCTATATCCTTGTTTAATTTAAGGAAAACTACCCTATCCCTCGATTTTCTTTCTCTTTTCTCTTCTCTCCTTAATTGGTTAAATTAAATTTTTTTTAAAAATTCTTTGTTACCTTTCCATTCAACCAAAACAAGTTAATAATCGCACTTGTACTTCGAAATACAAGGATTAGAATTCGAATTTCTCACTTTCATTATGGTCCGTTCAAAAAAATAAAAAAAGAAGCTAATAATCGTATGGGGTATTTGTCACAGCTATGAGTATTTGCCACATGGAAATATGAATGGACCAGACATGTTCTTTTTGAGGCTTCCACGTACGCCCCATGGATTGGTCCTTCTGAGACTCGATCAACATGCATAGAGATTAGAGACGACACAACAATACTCCTCCCCTCTAGTTCAAGAAAAATATATATATATATATATATATATATTTATGAGTGAGTAGATGAATTGATAAAAAAAAAATTTAATTTAATCAAAAATTTTAATTTCATCAATAATGAGTGGGTGTATGAGTTGACTTAAACTCTTTCAGTTTAACTAGAGATTTTAAGTTTAAATCCTGAAAATATAACTCCATTAAAACTTATGAGGGAGAATTTTGTCGCCTATTAAATCCTGCCCTGCTCGAATTTGGTTTAATAAGTGACCCAATAAACTTCTATATATCGGATAGTTATACCAAAAAAAAAAATTTTGATTTCAAATTTTAAAAATATGATTTTGTAAAAATTCATTAAAGGGAGTTTTGCTACCCATTCAATTATGTCCGAATTCAAATTAATTAATAACCTAATAAACTTTTAAATATCGGTGATCCAAATAAAATAATAATAATAATAATAATAATAATAATAATACTCCTCTCCTGGAAAAGCCTGTAATTGGCCCCTTATTTTTCTTTCATTTCATTTTCCTCCTCGATTCTCCCTTCTATGCCCCCATCTCTTGTCCCCACCTTTTACCCTAAAAAGGGCACTCATTGTCTTTAAGAAGACCCCTCTCCTTGAGCAGTCTTTTCAGCCCCCGAGTCCCAGAGAGAGAGAGCGAGGGATAGGAGCATAAAGAGGAGAGGGAGGAGAGGGGCTGATTCATCTTCACTCTGTAGAGTTATGTTCTCATATTTCCTCTAGAACTATTCTTTGTTCTTCAATTCTTTGATTATATAATCAGAAAAGAGTCCTTTTTTACACATAGAACCTACGTTTTTGTTCGGATAAACAAAGAGGTTTTGCACTTTTGCAATGGCTCCAAGTTTTGATTATGCAGTTACGAGTCTACTCTGTGCAGAGGATAACAACAGCATTTTTGATGATAACGAATGCTTTGGGGGTTTGGGGGATGAGTTTGAGTGTACATGGAATCGTAGATATCGTCGAAACTTGAATCAAAACAGAGGCTTTCATGATGGAAATGCCTTGCCATTGCAGAGTGAGGAGTGTTTGTCTTTGATGGTTGTAAAAGAACACCAGCATATGCCTAATGCTGATTACCTGAATAGGCTGCAGAGTAGAGATTTGGAGGTGGGGGCTAGAACAGAAGCTCTTGATTGGATTGAGAAGGTGGGTTACCCAAAAAGATTGATTCTTTCCTCCTGGATTTTTTGTATTTATGAGTTCTCTAAACTGGGTGTTTCTTGCGTCAATGCATCAGACTTTTTATGTCAATATTTTAATTGTTCCATGCAGTTTGAGCATTTACTCTTCTTTTTGACAACCAAAATCCCATCTTAGATTGTTCTGCTTCAATTTCTGATTGGTTTTGGTTTGGTGTTTGATGAATCGGGTTGGGATGTTTTTCTTTTCATCTGGCATCTTTATTCATAATCTGAAATGGGTTTGGTGGGTTCTTCCTTTTTGGCAATTGGGGCCAATGCTGATTTGTAAAATTTTATTTTTGCCTTCATTTTGCTTCATAGGCAGTCTGGATTCTATTACTGTTTTCACTTTTTGTTTATTACCTTTCCTATTATTGGTCCTCCTTGTAGGGTATGAGCTGTTCACTTGTGCTTCACCTTTCCTGTTTGATTCAAGCATTTTTGGGTGCTTTTCTATTTTCCTTTTTGCCCCTGATCGATGCTAATGATCCTATCTGCTCCATAGGTTCATGCCCATTTTGGTTTTGGACCTCTTTCTGCATATCTATCAGTAAATTACTTGGACAGATTTCTCTCTTCCTATGAATTACCAGTAAGTTGAATGATCAATCAAAGATTACATCGCTTTTTCCTTTAAATCCATTTTTAAGTTTTACCATCGATTTCACTTGCAGAAGGGGAAAGCTTGGACGATGCAATTACTGGCTGTGGCATGTTTATCCCTTGCAGCCAAAATGGAGGAAACAGAAGTTCCTTTGTCTCTAGATCTACAGGTTTGAATCAAATTCAAAGACTAGTTCAGCTTTTTTATTTCCTGTTATGTTTTTGGATTTGATCTGAGATTTTAAGGTTTCTTCACAGGTGGGTGAATCAAAATTTGTGTTTGAGGCTAGAACTATACAAAGAATGGAGCTTTTGGTGCTGAGCACTTTGAAATGGAGAATGCAAGCAGTTACCCCATTCTCCTTCATAGACTATTTCCTTTACAAACTCAATGATAATCAATTCCCTCATAGAACTTCAATCTTGAGATCAATCGAACTCATATTAAGCACGATGAGAGGTGTGTTTGAGTGTCTGTTAAGTGTTTGTAATAATTCCTGAGGGGGGGGTCTGATGAATTGGTTGGTGGGAATTGAATGCAGGGATTGACTTCTTGGAATTCAAGCCTTCTGAGATTGCAGCAGCAGTGGCAATATCTGTTGCAAAGGAAACCAAAACAGTAGGCACTGAGAAAGCAATATCTGCTCTTGCTCAGCATGTACAAAAGGTAAAAAAAAAAAAAATGGTGGTCCAAGAAATGATGATCTTGCATTTCCATCTATCAAAACTACAGTATTTTTTGTTACCTTCTATACTTCATTGTTTTTTCAGGAGAGAGTGTTGAAGTGTACAGAATTGGTTGATGAATTGTCATTGGTGGGTGGGTCCTTGGAGGGTGTTGCAAGTGGTGCAGTCCAATTGGTGCCACAGAGCCCTATTGGGGTGTTGGATGCAGCATGCTTGAGCTATAAAAGCGATGACATAACAGTTGGGTCATGTACAAATTCTTCCCATAATACTCCAGAGACCAAAAGGAGAAGGTTAAATACACCCTTTGAAGTTGAACTATAATAAGTGATGATGGAAATAGGATTTGCACACAAAACACAAAATATGTTTGTTTGCTTGTTCTTTTTTATTTCTTTTTCTACATGGTAGTTTTGGTGTGCCTATTAAGGTTAATCAAAAGGGTAGATTATGGAGGAGTTGAATAAGTTGGGTCATGGGTGGAGTATGGAAGGTGGAAAATGGAGAATGGAAATGAAGAGATTTCAAGCTATTGGCATGGACAGGAAATCACCAGCTGTTAAATATTAGTTTTCTTAACGGCTAGGAAAGGGAAATGGAAAACAAAACATTAAAAAAAAAAAAAAAGTTTCTGCTTTGTGAGATAAGTTTGTTTTAGGTGGAGTTTTCTTAATTATGAGAAAAGGAAAAAGAAAAAAAAAATAGTATCAAATACATTTTCAGGTACTGTTTGATATATTTTTTCTTTTATAATAAAACATATTTGAATAGAAATCAAGTTATACTTAAATTTTTTTAAAAAAAATTTATATTAATTTCCAGTTATACATTTTAAAATTAGTGAATTGTTTTAAAATTTTAAGTGCTATAATAATTGTTAAAATTTTAAAATAAATAATTGAAAATTAATGTACCATGTATACCAATATAAACTGATTCTAGCTAAGTACATTTACAGTGCCAGTTTAAGGACACTGGGATCAGATAAAGAGTGAATTCTTATCGATAATAATTGGATGGAAGCCAAGAAAGTCTTCAGAAGAGTACACTTGATAATTTATACCATGAAAAGCTTATAATAACGGTTTTTGTTTTGTTTGGTTTGGTACATAAACAAGGAATGGGGGTCTCATGCGAATCCAAATTAGCTAATAAAGTCATCCTGTGGATTATTCCTGACATTAACATTGTGTAATCCCCCAAGAGGAAAACTGACTTTGTTAATCACATGTCACATTGAATATATATTACAGAATATATCAAAGATAAAATGGTAAAGTATATGAAGGGATATTTTTGTTTATTTATTTTTTTTAATAATATGTTGCAGACAATTTGTTTTTACCATTGACCATGAGGTTATGTTTGGTATGTTTAGTTTAAGAAAAAAAAAAAAAGGAGATGGAAGAAAAAATATTTAACCAATCAAATTAAGAGTTTTCCTTAATTGTTTGGTGTTTTCAACTGGGTTTTTGAACCTGCATTTTTTCTCTTTTTAGCATTTCTTTTTGTTCTTGTATTAAGTTTATATGAAATTGATAATAAAAGATAACTCTCTTCAATCATTTTGTTGTTTATTGTAGTGGCATTTCCAAATTGAAACGATAAATGTATTGTTAAACAATAATATCAATAAATAAACAATATATTTATAATTTCAATTTATTGATATTTTAGTTTATTTATTTTTTTAATAATATGTTGCAGACAATTTGTTTTTACCATTGACCATGAGGGTATGTTTGGTATGTTTAGTTTGAGAAAAATGGAAAGATAAGAGGAGATGAGAGAAAAAAAAAATTTTACAATTCCAATTAAAATTTTACCTTAATTGTTTGGTGTTTTCAATTGGATTTTTGAACCTGCATCTTTTTCATTTTTTAGCATTTCTTTTTGTTCTTGTGTTGAATTTAAATTTTATTTTTGAAATATTAATTTTTTTTTTAATTTTACAATTAAATATAATTAATAATTATAATTATTAGTTAATAAATAATAAAATAATTAATATCTATTAATTAATATATTAAAATTGAAGGGAGTGGTAGCAGTGTGGGTTTGTTGGGACTTGTGACTTCTCGGCCCAGCTTTGTTGCTGGAATGTCCATTGGGTGTAAACGGCTGCCCTTCCCTTGATGGGCCGGTCAATGATGGTCTAGTCCACCTAAACTCTTCAAAAGACTCAGAACCCAAACCAAAATAGTGGCGGCTTGTACTAATTCCGGCAGGTCAAATGGATAATTACTTAATTAGTAATTACTTGAATAGATTTGTAACCAAAGCCAATTTGTGGGTCTAAGGCTACCAATAAGTCAACAAGAATTTGTGGGTCTAAGGTTTCCAATTTGTGATCATCTCGAAGGAAAAATGGAAAATGCAACATGTGTTTTCAAAGTGGACTTGGTCCATAGAGAAAAATGCTACCCTTTTTTTATGTACATGCAAGAAAAAAAATTAGAAAAAAAAATAAAAAAGGAGAGAGAGAGCTAAGAATGATATGTGAAGTATCCCATCTAGTAACAATTCAAAACTTCAAATTAGATAGTTCATAAAAAAAAAACTTCAAATTATATCGGAGGTCTTAAGTTCACGAGATCTCTGTGTGCATTCCTCTTTTTTGGAGGGCAGTATTAAAAATTCTTCAATAGATGAATTATATATAGTTTTGTTAGTTTTAAAAGGTTTTTGTATTAAATTATTAAAAAGAAGAAGAAGAAGAGATAATAGGCCCAAATTTAAGGAACACCAATTTATCAATAATTAAAGGTACAATTTAGATTTCACAAATTATTTCTAACTTTTTATTAAAAAGAAAAAAAAGAAAGACATGAACGAACTCAATAAAAATCTGAATCCATCCCTCGCTTTGTGGTACAGTTCTACTGGCAGCATCCAAGGTTGAGCATTGGATATAGATATATATGTTATTTATAAGTGTTTTTCCAAAAATCCTCAGCCGAACCTTACTACATGTGTTTGGATGTTAGGCGTGTCACTTGTTTTATCTAAAAACAAGAAAACAGGATTTTTTATACAACTCTTTTCTTTTCCGGTGGTTGACCTGCAATAGAATGATGGGAAAGAACGTTTGTGAAATAAATTATGCGCCAAACTATGTTGTAAAACAGAGAGTGGAGTTCTACAAAATGGATTACTAATTGCCTTGGAAACCTCCAAGTGTAATAAAAGTTACAAATTCTAAAATTATCCAAAGGCAACTAATCTAATATAAGATCAATAAAAAAAAACAACATGTCATAAAAATAAAATTCGTAAACAACAGAAAATGTAAAATCACATATAACGACTTCTATTACGCAATCCATAACAATTAAACTTAATTACTTGCAGATTTAAAATAAAAATAGCTAAACTACTTGATAACTAAAACCGAAGAAGAATTTACGAAATAATTAAAATATGAAAACTTATAAAATTAAATCTGAAAATTGAAATTAAATAAACTGCATGTCTAGCTGTTGTGCAGAAACAAAAGAATAAAGGCAGAAAGCATTCAACTTATTTACATGAACAAATAACATAGTTGAATCTATAAAAAAAAGATGAACTAATCAAATCAATAAGGTATACCTGTTTTGAAGGTTGAATTGCTTCCAAATGCTTAAAAACTAACCTAAGTTGAAATATTTGAGGAAAGATATGAATAAGAATGAAAAACCTAAACTAAGGCTATGACCAAGAACAGATCTTACAAACTAATTTGGAAACTATTGTTGAAATATGAAAAAAAAACAATTTGAAAGTTAAAAAACATGCTTTGGGCAGGGTGTGTAGGACAGGCTGTCTGGAATTGATCTCTTCCTTTTGTTTTTCTTTTCTTCGGTGTTAGAAAACCTTTTCCATGTTTCTCGGCCCTCTCCCACCATGATCGAGTGGTGGGGGTTTCTTGTCCGATAGCTGTCTGACAGTTGACAGTTTTTATTAAATCTTATTTCCAATAAAACCCTAGAGATAACCTCATCCTAAAAACTCACAACATCCTAAAAACTCTCAACTTACTAACCTAAATCAAACTCAAATATCAAAAGTTATTTTATCTTTGGCCACCTTAGCTTCTTTAAAATTTCGTCTTGGCTTTTAAATTGTAATCCAGTCCAGCTCAAATGCAACTTATTAACTTTTTTTGATAATTGAATTTCAACTTGACAAGTGACTTTTTCTCATTGATTTATTTTAAATGTAAACAATAAGTATTTTATTTATATAAATAATAATAAAATAAATAATAAATATAAAGATAATATATTTAAAAATATCAAATCAAATATAAATTAATAAGTTTAGAATTGTTTAGCTAACTTATTTAATTAATTTGTTTAATTGATT